GTCGAAGAGAAGGGGCGGGGTCGAAGAGAAGGGGCAGGACCGTGGAGTAAGGGGCGGGGCCGGGAAGAAGGGGGCGGGGTCGCGGAGAAGGGTCCGGCGGGGTCTCGGCCCGGCGGGGTCCGAGGGTCCGGGGTCTCGCTGGAGCACGGGGCGCAGCCCGAGCCTCCCCCCTGCACCCCGGGGTGGGTGCCCCGCTGCCCGCGGGGTGTACGCGTCCCCACACCCCGGTCGCTGCCCACCGGTGCCCCCCTCGCCCCCCGGCCTTCCCTCTCACCTCGTGGGGACCACTAGCCGGCCGCGCAGGAGCCCGTGTTCCCCCCAACCCGGCTGGGCCCCAGGGGTGCCCAGTTCCCTGTCCCCACCGTCCCCGCACCCGGAGGGCCGGCCCTGCCACAGGGCTATTTTTGGGCCGTGGCGTGGCAGCCGTCCGGCAGTGCCAGGGGGCCCCACGTCTTGCCGCTTCGGCATCGCTCTCATTCCAGCCGGCGCCCGGGGAGCAGCGGCACGGCTCGACTCGGCACGGCACGGCCGATCCCCCGGCTTACGGACGGGGAGAGGTAAAGCCTTCGCCCGGCCACCGTGCCTCCTGGGCCGGGGGCTCCCCAGCACACGGGGCAGCTGGCTGCCTTCGCTGCCGGACCACCGTCGCGGGGGACATCCCAGGGCAGGGGAGACCCCGTTGCAGGGGACGCTCCCTCCTGGGGGCCACCCAGCCCTGGGGTCCCCTCCACCCCTGTCCTGGGGGACGCTTTGCTGCAGGGGATGCTCTGTTGCAGGGGACACCCCATCCCAAGAGACCCCCCGCTGCAGGGGCCATCCCAGCCGGCCCCACTGCCCCTGGCCCGCGATGGCAGGGGGAAGGGGCGCATTCAGGGCAGCCTTGTGCCGTGCCGCTCATAACCTAAAAATAGGCAGTGGCTCACAGGCCCCTGGGGGGGGCAGGATTTGTCCTTTCCGCGGCAGCCACGGTGCTGCACAGGGGGCCCTCCAGGTGGTGCAGGGGGTGAAGCGGCGCGTGGGGGGCCGCTCTCTGCCCCGCAGATGGCCGGTGGCATTTTCTCCCCACTGGGGAGCTGCTCGGAGCTGGAGAAGGCCAACTGCCACCCGCTGGTCTGCCTGCTCTGCCACGAGCCCTACCAGCACCCCTGCCTGCTCGACTGCTACCACAACTTCTGTGCCAGCTGCCTGCGGGGCCGCGCCAGCGACGGCCGCCTGCGCTGCCCACTCTGCGGGTAAGGGACAGATCCTGCCCAGGGGAGACGCCGGGACCAGGGCAGGCAGCACGTGGCTGGCAGCCTGGCCTGGCACTGCTCCCGCTGCTCCCCAAAGGTGTCCCCACCTGCCCTGGGCGGGTGTCCCCACCTCGTCCCCATCCCTGTCCCTGTCCCCATCCTCACAGGCACCCCTCGGTGGTGAGGGGGGGCACGGGGCTGCCCCCCGTGGACCGGCTCCTGCAGTTCCTGGTGGACAGCTCGGCCGACGGCGAGGAGGACGTGCAGTGCGCCAACTGCGACCGGCGCTGCGCCAAGGCGGTGAGGGCAGCGGGGCGGGCGGGCAGGGGACCCCTGCCGGGGCTGTGCCCGCCGCCAGCCACCCCCCCCGCCACGCAGGAGCTGGACACCATGTACTTCTGCAACACCTGCGGGCAGCCCCTCTGCGCCCCGTGCCGCGAGGAGACCCACCGTGCCAAGATGTTCGCCCGCCACGAGATTGTCTCCCTCTCCAAGCGCACCAAAGACATCCACAAGAAGTGCCGTGAGTAACGTGCCGCACCACACCGTGCCGCGCCACGCCGCGCCAGGCTGCCTGACACCCCCGTCCTTTGCAGCACTGCACGAGGAGCCCTACATCATGTTCTCCACCGAGAAGAAGTCCATGCTCTGCATCAACTGCTTCAGGGACATGCAGGGGTGAGCAGCCCCGGCCCCGTGCCTGCCCCGCACCCCATCCCGTCCCGTGCCCTGACCCCTGTGCCTGCAGGGAGAGCCGAGCGCACTGCATCGACATCGAGACGGCGTACATGCAGGGCTGCCAGCGGCTAGACCAGGCGGTGATGGTGAGCAGGGCCAGCGCGTCTCAGGGTGGGGGGAATAGGGGTGCGGTGCTGCCCACAGCGCCGCAGCCACCCCGCTGCCCCCGGGCAGGCCGTGAAGGAGCTGCAGACCTCCACGCGTGAGGCCATCGTCCTCCTCAAGGCCATGATCGAGGAGGTGCGCAACAGTGCCAGCGAGGAGGAGGCGGCCATCAACTCCCTCTTCGGCCGCATGCAGGTGCGGGGCAACTGCTGGCACATGGTGCCCTGCGCCCACGGGTGCCCAACGCACGGGCACGGCAGAGCCAGGGCAGCGGGAGGGGACTGGGGCAGCTACGGGGCACAGGGCGGCCGTGTCATTTGCAGGAACAGCTCTCCGAGAGGAAGAAGGCGCTCCTGAAAGCTGTGCAGAGGTGAGGGGCTGCGGGCTGAGCCCCCTCCCAGGGGTGTCCCCCCTCCTGGGGCGTGTTGGCGTGCCTTGGGGCCGGACGGCTCCCCGGCACCCCACAAAGGTTGTGCCAAGTCCCGCTCTGCTGCAGCCAGCACGAGGAGAAGGAGAAGGCGTTCAAGGAGCAGCTTGCCCACCTCGCCTCCCTGCTGCCCACCCTGCAGGTAGGACCCTGGGCCGGGCAGGGGCCAGGCTGGCATGGCCCGGATGGGTGCTGGTGGTGACATCCCCCCACGCACACAGGTCCACCTGGTGACCTGCTCGGCATTCCTGAGCTCTGCCAACAAAGCTGAATTCCTGGACCTGGGCTATGTGAGTAGTGCCAGCGCTGCAGGGCAGCCGGAGCATCCTGCCACGGTGCCATGAGGCGTCTGGTGCACCCCGCCAATGTGCTGCGAGGCAGCTGGAGCATCCCACCACGGTGCTACGGGGCGGCTGGTGCACGCTGCGGCGGTGCCGGGCTCACGGGCAGGGTGCCAGGCACCCCTCACCGCGCCTCACCGCTGCCTTTCAGCAATTGATGGAGAGGCTGCAGAGGATCGTCAAGCTGCCGCACCGCCTGCGGCCGGCCCAGACCAGCAAGGTAGAGCCCTGCCGCCCGCCTGGGGCTGAGCCCCTGCCCGCAGTGCCCCGTGGGCAGCCCCGGCTGCCGGCTCTATGCTGGCCCCAACGGTGCTCGCCCCCATCTCGCCCCCCAGATTAACAGCGAGTACCGGGCAGAGTTTGCCCGCTGCCTGGAGCCCCTGCTGATGCTCAGCCCCCGTCGCTCCGTGGTGGGCAGCGCCGGCGGCATCGGTCCTGGCATCGCTGGCACGAACATGTGAGGTGCTAGGATCACACCCGGCACTGGGGCGCATCCTGCCACGCGTGCCAAGCTTGCCCCCGCTGCTGCCCTTGAGCCCGTCACCTCGGCGGTGGCGCGGGAACAGCGCGGAGCACAGCTGCGCTGACGAACGACAGGCACGGGGGCTTCAAGTGACAGTTCTGGGAAGCGGGACGGGCGGGTGGGTGGGCAGCAGGCCTGGCAACAGGGTGCCTGGGTGACCCTGCGCCCTGCGTCCCAGCCCGGCCCCCCGCCACGGTCCCCGGAGGGCTGTGCCGGGGCCAGCTCCTGCTCGCCCGCACGGCCGCGGCGCCGCAGCCTCTTTGCCCGCCACTATTTTTATCAGAATTTCAGGGAAGTGCCCGGCCGTTCCTCGCCCAGGATATATTTAGGCCCGTTGATGTCACGGCAGCACCGGCCCTGCCAGGCGCTCCCGGCCGGAGAGGACAAACGGGCACTGCTGCCCCATGGGGACCACTCCTCACCCCCGGCCAGGCTCAGTGCCACAGGGCGGCTGAGCTCCTGGGGGCTGCTGGCCCCGGCGCAGGCAGGGGGAGCGCGGCGCTGCACGGTAGGACTGATGGCGGTGGGGCAGCAGAGCCGGGGCGGTGGGCAGCGCCGAGAGGCTGCGGGATGGGGGGAGACGCATGGGGCAGTGGCGCCTGCCAAGGGGCCAGGAGGTATCAGCGGTGAGGGAGCGAGCCGCATCCTTCCCTTCAGAAGGCGGCACATGCCGAGCTCGGCTCCTGCCTTCTCCGTGCCGCAGCTGGTCACAGAGCTGTGGGCATCAGGAGAGCTGCCCATGGAAACTTGACTTTCGGGGCAGCATAAGGCGCCTCCGACTGTCCCCGTGTGCTTGGGTGAGGGAAGGGACGTGCAGGGCTGGTGCGTCCCCAGGCACCCCAGGGGCGAGGGGTGGCAGGGCTGAGCCGGCGGCGTGGCCCCTGGCACCTCGCACCACCACTGCTCGCCTGCAGTACGCCGTTGTCACCCTCTCCACGCAGGCTCCCCGGTGGCCAATGCTCCAAGACCCTCATGGTGCCCAGCTGCCCCCCCACTGGTGATAAAATGTCCACTGGCCCCATCGTGCGGAAGCCGACGATGCACCGGTACATCAGCACCAAGGTCCTGCTGGCTGAGGGGCGCGAAACCCCCTTTGCCGAGCACTGCCGCAACTATGAGAACACCTACCGGGTAGGGAGCGTGGGTTGGGACGGGTCTGGGACGGGTCAGGATGGGACAGGAGGGTGCTGCTCACATGGCAGGGCCTCCCGGCCCCTGCAGATGCTGCAGACGGAGATCCAAGGCTTGAAGGACCAGGTGCAGGAGCTGCACCGTGACCTCACCAAGCACCACTCGCTCATCAAGACAGAGATCATGAGTGAGATCCTGCAGAAGTCCCTGCAGATGGATGTGCAGATCGCAGCTCACTACTCCGCCGTGGAGATGATGCGCAGCGTCTTTGAGGAGGTACAGTCAGCGCGCCCTGGCAGAGCAGGGTCCCTCCGTGCCGTGCCACGGCACGCTGCCTGGCTCCCTCTCCCCCCTTCCAGGTCTGGGAGGAGACGTACCAGCGGGTGGCAAACGAGCAGGAGATCTACGAAGGTACCAGCGACCCCACTCCTCTGGCCCCAAACTTCCTATGCCTGCGCCGGGGCAACAGCCATGGCCACAGCCCGCTCCTCTCGCCCCTCCAGCCCAGCTCCATGACCTGCTGCAGCTACGGCAGGAGAACAGCTGCCTGACCACCATCACCAAGCAGATCGCGCCCTACGTCCGCTCCATCGCCAAGGTGAAGGAGCGGCTGGAGCCCAGGTGAGGGGCATGGGGAGGCTTTTGGGGCTGGGGAGGACGTGGTCATGGCGGACACAGCCGTGGCTCACGCCCATTCCGCCGCAGGCTGCAGGAACCCCGGGAGCCCAAGGAGGAACAGGCACAGATGCTGCTCAAGATCTGTGACGACAGCAAAGCGGAGCCAAGGTAGGCAACAGCAAGCACCAGGGTGCCAAATTCCCTCTGCGCCCTTTCCCAGCCGCTGACCCTGCCAAGGTACCTTCCCTTCCCCAGAGACGCCTCGGCCGGTGGCAAGGAGGGGGCTCCGGCCAGCCCTGGGGAGGGCTACGTGCCCAGCAGCGACCCCGGAGAGCCCTCCCCAAAAAGCAAACACTGCTGCAGGGGCCAGCAGAAAAGCGGGGCTGAGAGCACCGCCCAGAAAGAGCTTGCACCATAGAGCCCGATGCCAAGCAAGTGCATGGAGCCGCTTGGCGCTCGCTGCACAAGCGCCATGCCCCGGTTGTCAACCGGCTCCTCTTGCCTTGTGCCACAAGCGAAGGCAGGAAAACACAGCCTGAGGAACACAGTGTCTGCAGCATATCAAAAGCCTGCCTTAGGGCGGCTTTGTTCATCTGAAAAAATAGTTGTCTTTATACTCTCCCTCTTGTGTGTTAGAGGTGAAATAAAAGCATGCAACTGTACGTGTCCACTTGGTTCTGTGGCTCTGGGCAAAATGGGCCTGCCAGCTTGGGGCATCCAGCCACTCTCAAAACCACAAAGTTTGCAAATGTGGCGGGGGGGGCGGAAAAAAAACCCCAACAACTAACCCTGGTGTAGGGCAGAGCCAGGAGCTCCACGAGCTCACCGCGGGGTCTCGGAGTGTCCTGTGAACTGCCGACAGGCAGCAGAGCAAAAACACAGGCAGGGTGCTAGAAAGAGGCACTGTGCTCATTGTGAACCTGCACTATTTAAAAACTTACCAACTCCTGCAGCACAGGAGGACAGGGTTTGGCAGCTTACTCTGGCTTTTCACTCAAGATTCCAACACCCTCCACATGCCTGGTGAGCTCCTGTCTCCTCACCAAGCTTCCAGTCACAGGATTCAGGAAAATAAAAGGTTTAGAGAGGCTGCTGGTCTCAAAAGCACCGAGAGGGCTCTAAAGGTTTTGCTCAAGGTGAAGTTTATCCCTTTCTTTTGGTGCCAATGTATCCCGCCTTGGGCAGACCTTGCTGCCGCACAGCTGGAACCAGGGTCAGAGGTAGCACTGGCACGCTCCCGTAAATTAGGATCAAAGTGCATTTACTACAAAGGACTTGAGAATAAAGCTTAGTTTTTGTTGTCAGCTCATGTCAAAGCCAAGCAATGATTGCTTTGTTTGGTTTTTTTTCAAAGTACATTTCTGCAAGTTCACGGCAGAAACAAAAAAAATAGTTAAAAATTAACTTGCCTGAGACATGCTGGCTACAACATCAGGTCACAGCTTCCATGAGGATGTGCGCTGGAGGCAGAGAAAAGCCTGAGCAGGGGCCTATGAGTGACTACGCGGAGAAATCAGTGCTATCAGGCTGGTGTATTTTCACGTTTGCTCTCTTCTCCCAAGCTAAAACCACGCTCAGTAAAAGACAATTTACCAGCAAAGGCATAAAGCCAATGCTCTGTGCAGAACACGCTCTGCAATACAAAGCAAACTCGGCAGAGGAAAGACTCTGCATTGGTTAAGTGAGGAGAGACAGAGAATTAACCTTGTCCCTGAGGCTGCGCAGCCCCATAAGTCACGGTCCTGCTTCAGCCCAACACTGGAGCGTTCTGAAAACCCACTGGGAATTGTAAAAGTAAGGATTCCAGTTTCGATGTTGTCACCACCACCTCAAGAGGTCTCCAAATAACCACCAGGCAGAAGTTGGCAATATTTTTACTTGTTTTTTTATAAAAAAAACAAAAACACAAAACAACAAACCAAAACTGAAGCAATATCCATCAGTGCCCCCTTTCCTGAGCCATACCACAGCACCTTCACCAAGGAACACCGCAAGCCCAAAGCGTGAACTGACAAGCAACTCGTTTCCATTCCAGCTAGGAAGAATAATGTAAAACTCAGTAAAACAGTGAACCTCTTTGGTATATAACAACAGAATAAGTTATACCACAAAGCTCGAGTAGGAACCATTTCCAAAATGGTAACGTTTAAAATAGCATTAGCTAGCCAAACTTTTTTCCCCGTTTGGAGAATTTCCCTAGAAGCATCTCCTAGTCGCACCGACATCCCAGCTTTCGCCTAAAAAAGCAGGCAAGAATCTCGAGCGCTAAAGCCCTCGGCAAGCCCAGCAGCTGGGGTTCTTTCCCAACCCAAAATCCTGGGATCTCTGCAGGACGGAGGCAGCCTGGCAGGCTAGGAAGCAGCATGATTTGGAAGCAGGAAGAGGGAACAGAGGTGGCGGCAGGGAGGCTCAGGAAAGCGGCGGCTGAAACGGTGACTCCCAAATTCACGGCAGCCCCCGAGGGAGGAAGTAGCGGGCTCACTCCCCTGCCACGTTTCACAGAGGCACTCGTGATCCAGCGGCATGAGGCGAGCAGAAGAATCCTCCCTGTGAGCGTTAACGCCTGGGAGAGAACCAATTGGTGCCGCGCCACCGGCTCTCCAGCAAGCAGAGGGTAGGTGGCCCCTGCACCTGAAGAGCGGAGAGCTGGAGGCCCACTCCTGTGAGCCGCCTGGGCGCCAGCTTGCAGAATCAGGCCTAAAGAGATTAAAGCCACACCGCCTGGCTTGCAAGGTCAAAAAGCTTTAAAATCGAATTATGCCATAGGACCAATCCGCTGACCGGCGCCTTTCCTGCATGGGGGTGGGAGGACAGACCTGTTCTCTGGAAGAACTGGTTCAGAGGCATTTACTGCAGCTGCTGCAGGCAGGAGGGTTCAATTCTCTTTAGGGTCGCTACAGGCTAAGTGATCTGGAAGATCCCTGAATGTGCAACGAAGGACTTATCTCGAGGAGGACGAGCAAGCTTCTGATCTGCTAGCGACGCGGCGGGCTGCCGAGCTCCGCAGCCCTTTCAGCTCCTCCCGGGCGGCCGGGAAATACCGCCGGGCTACTCCCGGTGCCATGCAACATCCCTTGCCGTGCAGTGCCTGGAGCCGGGCATTCGCTCAGCCAGTTCGGTTTTCGCCTGCATTACAGTTCTACTCTGACTCCTCTAATAAAAGGGAGACCCGACGGCACCTTCCTTTTGTACTCCAGGTACTCTTCTCCAAAGAAGTGAATGAGTGTGATCTCCTCCTCCTCGATCCGCTCCCTGAAGAAGCGCCAGGACACCAGCGCGTAGCCCACCATACAGATGGGATTGCAGAGTAACACCTGCGAACAGACACCAGCGGTTAGCGTCCCCTCGCCTCCCAAAGAGACCGAGGCTGCCCCCCGCCCCCACATGCTAATCACCCTTCATTAAGTTTGCCATGAGGTCTGTCTAAATGGTCTCCAAAGAAAAGAAAAGATCCCAGCACCTTTTGTGGAACTTCATTCCGGGGAGAAATTAGTGCTTATGAAGAAAGCAGCCCATGGGCAGCTGCCGGCTCCTGCTACCCCGGCCAAGAGCAGCGCCTTGGCTCTAGAGAGCCCACGCATGGCCACACTACTCCACGTGCAGTCTTTACCGTCTCTCTCCAGAGAAATGAAACCAAGTGCCAACCACCAGCCAACCACAAGAAGAGCGCGACTGAGGCAGCGCTGAGTTACAGCTCGACCGCAGCTGGCTTCCAGTTTACCTTCTGGCCGGGGCCCTGGGCACTCTTAGAGGGAGTTTTCTTTGCCAGCGTGGCACAGGACCGGTATTTGGCAGGAGCAAGGTTGAGTCTGACCACTTATGGAAGGCGTTTTGCCCACAGGGATGCAAGGAAACTCTAGACACCAGCTTTAGGCTAGCAGCAGATCGCACCCCGAGCCTTCGAGGGCATTCTGGCTCAAACCCCGGCCCCGCCACCCCTGCTTATTCCACACAGAAAATTAAGGTGATGGGGTCTCCCCCAAGACAGCGTGGGCCTGAGCGCTCGGGGTTCCCTGGCCCCTGGCATGCTGGTGGGAGGCAGGAGGCATCAAAACCCGCGACCGGCCACCGGTACCGCTGATCGCCGGCAGTTTGAGTCCCGTTACAGGTGCGGGGCAGCATTAAGAAGAAAGACCCGGGTTATAACACGGAAGTATCTGAGCGCGTTGTATACGGTACCTGTGTTCCAATACTCCAGTAAAACCATCCCACGTAAGATGGGTGCCGGAACCACCCATACACCCCACTTGTCACCAAAGTATGAGTATCCGATTTCTCATTCTGAACAATATGGTTGAAGTTGGAGCCAGCTGTGAGCATGGCCGCTTTCCTCAGACAATCCCCAAAGATCACCATCAACAACCCTACAGTACTCAGCCAGGTGATCTGCTTCAGCTCTGCAAGTGAATAAGGACGGGTCACAACAGGTTCGCACAGGTCACGCTCGCGGTGCGGGGGGTCACAGGGGCTTGGGTCGGCAGGTGGGCTTTTCCCCCACGTCTCAAAGCACGACAACATGTAAAACACAGCCAGCGTTCCACATGCTGCTGTCCCGCCACCAAAACAAATGAAAATAGCGTCCCCTGCCACAGAGTCACCCCCGACGCGGAGTCTGGACATCCTCGCGGTGGATCGCCCTGAGGGGAACCCAGCGCTGAGGCAGAGCCTGGCTTTTCGGTGTAGAGTAAAGCCAATGTAAAGCACAGCCAAGCAGATGCGCTCAGGCCGGACACGGGGAGCTTCACAGCCCGTGCTGCCGTTAAAAAGCAGGGAAGAACACCTCCCCTCTCCCAAAGAAAAGGAAGCACCCCAGGTTGGGCAAACAGCAACAGGTTTTGCCGATTTGATTTTATTCCAGGTCAAAAGAAGACGCCTAGACGTAAGTGAAGCGTCCTTCTTTGTACCACCAAAGTAGCTTGAAAGATGCAGGCAGAAAAGGGCTGAAGACCCGCTACGCGGCAAAGATGGCCTGGCATCCCCCCGCCCCCCAAGACCGAAACCGGGAGGCTTTGAGCACAGAGAGATTAAGGCCACATCAAAGCCCTCCTTTGCTGCCGCCACGGGTCAGCTAAGCGGGGGTCACCAGCGCTCTGTTGCTGGGCTGGTGGGCCCCAGGCAAGGGCCCTGCAGCCGGGCAGAGCCAGGGGACGGCAGGCGGGAGGGTGAGCAGCAGGGAGGGACAGGGTGGCCGACCTGGGAAGAGGAGCTTCTCCAGCGTGAATTCCACCCAGGAGGAGAGGGCAGCCAGGTTGTACTCGAAGCTGTGGTTGAGCAGGAAGGAGTCCAGCGAGAGGCTGCGCGGATTGTTGATGGCTGTCACCAGGTACTCCGAGTAGTGGAAGAGGGAGAGGGAGCACATGTACCTGCGGCGGGAGAGAGGGAGGGAAAGCTTGCCAGGGCCGGGGGCCGCCGCGACCGCCCGGCCCCCCCGGGCCCTTCCCTTACCATCCGAAGTGGCGCCAGGCGGAGCGGCCGGTGCTGAGCAGCAGCCCACAGCCGAAGGCGAAGCCCAGGAAGCAGGCCCGGATGGCGATCTGCAAGCAGAGGAAGGGCCCGAGGGCGCTGCCGCCGCCACCGCCACC